GCACCCAGCTACCTTACCTAAGTTAATCTCACAACCCCTTTACACATAATAACATATTTACTGAGTGCTTACTTTGTGCCAGACACAGTTCTAAATGCTTTATGTGGACTAAGATATCATATTATCTTTGTAAAATAGGCACTGTGATTTTCATCCTTCTACATTAGGATATCATTATTTTGATAATTTCCCTAAGATGACCTAGCTAATATGTGGAGGAGCTGGGATTTGAACCTGGGAGTCTGGCTCCAGAGATGGCTCTTTCTCACTAAACCCCACAACCTCTCAGAGGAGAGGTCAAGTCTATCAGAGATGGACAAGGATCCTGAGGCCACCCTTTCACAGAGGTATCCTCCTTCCCGGGGAACTTCTTGCCCTTGCTTTGTCACTGTTCTTCTCAGCCTATTCTCAGGGGCATCCTTTGCCAAAAATATGAAAGAACTATATTCACAGTATTCCTCTTACCTCTGTCAAAGAGGGCTACAAAAATATTCAAGGCAGTTTGCTCAGACTCAGGGGCTATCGCTTCAATCCCACCTTCACCACCACTAACTGGCTGTGTGACCTGGAGCAAGTTGCTTAGTGTCTCTGCCTTTAGCTTCCTCATGAGCAGAGGGGACATCATGCTGAAGCTGCCTTGTAGGGCTTTTGTGGGGAGGGCATGGGTTAATCTGTGTAATGTGCGCAGCACAATGGCTCAATAAGGAAGCTGTTATCATTAAGGAAGATTTACACTAGCTATTATGATAATTGATCAGGCAGCTCATAACTATGAGCAGAAGTGAGGAGGAAAATATATTTTTTAAAAAAAACTTGACTTGGGTTGGTAAACACAATACAGTGTATAGATGATATGTTATAGAATTGTGCACCGGAAACCTGTATAATTTTGTTAACCAGGTTCACGCCAATAAAGTCAATAAAAAGGAGAAAATAAATAAAAAAGAAAAGGAGAGCAGAATCCTGGAGATGGGGGCCTCAGGGAGCACACCAGGAAGGGTTAAGAAGACAACCTGCTTCACAGGTTTGCCCACACCTGGCTATGCTGAAGGTCTGCTTACCCAGGTACAGTGGCCTCCCCTGTCACGTGCCCTTTTCAGCTGCTGACCCCTGCTCTTCAAAATGGCTAAGAGTGTTACACTTAGACCAGTGGTTTCTCAACCTTGGCTGCACATTAGAATCACCTGGGAATCTTTTTTAAATCCTGATTTCTGGGCCTCATCCTCTGGAAATTCTGTTTCTTTGTCACTAATGTTGTGGCCCCACCCCATAACAAAGAAACAGAATTTCCGGAGGATGAGGCCCAGAAATCAGGATTTTTAAAAAG